TATCGGTGCATCCCTTTATTTATATTTATAAAAACAAAATCATACATACAAATCCCAGAAGCTCTGTGTGCTCCTTACAAATGACAGCTGCATCCTAACTTTTGAAATTTTCGCTAGTCTATTCTTGGAGCTCAAAAAGTATCTGTACTTGTACTTGTACCGAGTACTGTACTTGGTATCGGTGCATCCCTAGTATTTGGTATGGAGCACTTTGGGGGAATAATATGACCCCCCGCCAAGTAAGGAGTCTGATGTAAGGGGATTACAGTCCATGTACCCATTGCACTCCTGACCGCACGTCCAACAAAGTATCCTGGGTGCTCAGTAGTCGACGGATGGCCACCGTCAAAGTAATGCAGAAAAGAAATAGACACCGGCACTCCAATAATAAATCGATTACGTCTATTTATTGACGTACATCAAAAGCAAAATAACACACTTAGTGCACTAAGTGTGTTATTTTGCTTTTGATGTACGTCAATAAATAGACGTAATCGATTTATTATTGGAGTGCCGGTGTCTATTTCTTTTCTGATGTAAGGGGAGACACTGGGCACTGAGTCCCCAGTGTCCGCCCTTACATCATAGTCCCCAGAATTACCCCTTACATCAGAGTCCCCCCTTACATCCGAGTCCTTAGGATGCAAAGGGGGAAGTCTGGGGACAGGGATGTAAGGGGGGAAGTCTGATGACTCTGATAAAAGGGGAGACTCTGGACACTGAGTCCCCCCTTACATCATGGTCCCCAGTGTCCCCTCTTACATCAGTGTCTGCAGGACTCTGATGCAAGGGGGCACTCTGATGTGGAGGGGGAGGGGGGGTGCTGGGTACTGAGTTTCCCCTTACATCACTTTTTCATTAAAGATTTGAGTCGATATTGTGGTAAATTATCTAAAATATGATTGTCAGTTTTTGGAAAGGGGCACAATTTCATTGCTTGCCATAGGCGCCATATTATCTGTAGATATGCATCTGGGGGTGAGCGGAGAGTGTACACAACTCTAGACAGAAACATAAAATCATTAACTGCAATACATAATAATGATGCCACTGCCATCATAGGTATTGGTATTATTATGATGTCATTACACTCAATAGGGAACTAGTAGAATCACCTTCCCAGAATTCAAGCGTACTCTGATACTGTTCCTTGGACTAGAAGCTCGTGTTCCCCATAAAAATTAAGTTGTGAACAATAGGGTGGATTTGGCCCCTTTCTGCCCCACATCCAATCCCTAGCCAAATCCTGCCGCCATCACCTTCGTAAGATCTCAAAAATACGTCCCTTCCTCACCAATGAAACCGCAAAATTACTCATCCACTCACTTATCTCTCGACTCGACTATTGCAACTCCTTCCTCATTGGCCTACGTCTACAAAGGCTATCCCCCTTCAGTCTGAATGCTACTGCTAGACTCACCCACCTAACCAACCGTTCAGTGTCTGCAACCCCCCTCTGTCAATCCCTGCACTGGCTTCCAGTCACCCAAGGGATACAATTCAAAATATTAACAACCACTTAAAAAGCCATCCACAACTCCGCCCCCGGCTATATCTCCAACGTTGTGTCAAAGTATCACCCTAACCATCCCCCCCGCTCTTCAAAAGACCTTCTGCTTTCCAGCTCCCTCGTCAACTCCTCCCATGCTCGTCTCCAGGACTTCTCTAGAGTCTGTCCCATCCTCTGGAACCCTTTATCCCAACCTGTCCATCTATTTCCCACTCTGCCTTTAGGGGATCCCTAAAGACTCATCTCTTCAGGGAAGCTTATCCCACCTCTAACTAATCACTGAACATTTGCCCCTCCTTTTCAGATTGTAAGCTCTCATGAGCAGGGCCCTCCTTACCATCTTGTCTTGAATTGTATTGTGATTGTAATGTCTTCCTTATATTGTAAAGCGCGGCGCAAACTGTTCACGCTATATAAATCCTGTATCATAATAATAATGGCAATCTACTTGTCACACATGGTGGCAAGTAGTTTGGGCATAACACCCCCCTCCCTGGTACTTTGTCAGCACTGAGGTTCATTGCTTTAGGAGGGACAACTTTTTAAGGGCTTGTTCACACCATTTTCTGGTCCAGATCTGGTGCTATGCGTGCAGCACATTTTTGACACGTTTTTACCGCATTCCAGTTACTTTTGTTGTGGAGTGGGGCTGTCAGCTGTTAACTGCAGTGCGGTGCGTTTTCTACGCCTTCGTGCGTGTTACGGACGAGAGAAAATGTGACATGCAGTATTTTTTATGTCCAGAACGGACTGCGCTGGTGAGAACTGGATTCCATAAAACACATATGGATACATTGGGATGCATTTTTAGTGCAGGAGTGAACTGTTCTGCTCTGGACAGAATCCGGACATCAAGTGAACAAGCCCTAAAGCTGTTTGGTTGGTTGCTCTTGGCTGGTTGCAAGCTTGTAGGTTAATGCCATGGGCTGGCATTGCTTGTAGGGAAGCTCTTGGGGGACAACAGAGGAGGAAAGAGTGGCAGATGGAATAACTGGTTGCAAATGAGTGACAGCCCCTCCATATGAGGAACAGATGGGAGGTATGTATACTGATTCCAGCTTATATATGCCTATCAGTCTTTGGTCAGTATTTCCTGAATTAGATACCCAAGTGCTATCTCAGAAGGTTGGGAGGTATGAGTAGAGCAGATAATATTGAACAGCAACGCTGTTTGTTTGAGACATTGTCTCTTGAAAGAAGGACTTGCTGATGTAAGACATAACCCCTAACCTTAAGTAAGCGGTTAACGCAACAACACTAATCCTGGCCAGAGATACCAGCCCAGTGCATGAGACATGTTGATATCCTCATAGCAAGAGCACCGTGAGCTGATAATGGCCTATATGTTCTTCAGTATCATGGCAATGTTTCTACCTCAAACATTAGCTTAGAGCTAAAGGACATCTGCCTGTTCTGTAGTGCCTGTGTGCAGGAGGTGGTATGGGCATTTGGGAAGGGTTATGCGCAACCCAACAGTCCCACGTTAAAAATGTTTTTTCAAATACCTAATTAGTTACCGTATCAGAGCCTTATATATAAAAAAAGTTAAGACTTATTTGTAAGGTTGTGTTTTTCAGCTGGTGTTTAGAGGTGGTGTCTATATTGTTCTGTAGTATCTTCCTTGGGAAATATAGATCCAAGCCTGATAGACATATATAAGGTGGAATCTTGCCAGCAGATTGTGACGCATTGATGTAAATGGGCAAACGCGCACAAAAAACATATGCAAAAACGCAGCAAATGTGCGCTTTTGAGCATTTCCATTGAAGTATATAGGGCCAAGAAGCACTAAGGGCCCATTCACACCACCTCCAGACCAGACCAGATTGTTTCTGGACCTAAAATGCATCCCAATGTTTCCCTATGCTCTTCGTGGCCTCAGTTCACACCATTGCAGTCAGTTCCAGACCAGACCAGAAAAATACTGCGTGTCTCATTTTGTCTGGTCTGCAATGCACTGGAACTGCGGGCAGGTTCACACCATTTTGCCCTAAGGCCTTCCTCACACCTGGGCATTTTACAGCGCGTTGCTACACGCTGTAAAACGCTCAATATGTGAAAACCAATGATTGCCTATGGGCATGGTTCCCACCTGGGCGTTTTGCAGCCCTACTACGTTGCCATTGGTATTCCCGAGTGTAGATCGGGGTTAACAAAGCGGTAACCCCGAGCCACACTCGGGAATACAGCGTACAGGTCTTACCTTGACCGCAATCCCCGCTGTGTATTCTGTCCCCAAAAAATGGTATAAAATTCATTTCAGTACAGCGTTGCATGATGGAATAAACGTCAGTCAAAGGACTGCAGCGCTGAACACTGAAAAATGGCCTGGCCAGGAAGGGGGTCTAAACACCTGGTCTTGAAGTGGTTAAAAGTGAAACTAAAAAAATAAATATATTTTTTTTTAAATAGAGAAAATAAAGGAAAAAAATAAATAAATCATACCGCCAGTGAAACGTGCGTTTCACTGAACGAAAAAACAAGCGGAAAAACAAGCATAAGAAAACGCTCAGGTGTGAACCCAGCGTTAAGGTCCATTCACACCACATCCAGATTACCTCCAGACCAGACCAGACTGTTTCCGGACCCAAAATGCATCCCAATGTATCCCTATGCTATTTCTGGCCTTTGTTCCCACCAGCGCAGTCCGTTCCAGACCAGACCAGACAAATACACTTGTCCTATTTTGACTGGTCTGGAATGCACCAAAAACATCTGGAACGCACACAGGAATCGGCCGGCACGTACAGCTCCGTGCTGCATGCACAACCTTATCGGGCAGGTCCCAGGAAAAACAGGTGCTGCGTGTGATTAGTATGCAGCCCCTGTCCTTCTCTATGGGAGTATGTGGCCATACGCCGCCCTATGCTCACCCCAAGTGCAGGTCCGTACATGTGCGGGTGTCCTGGCTCGGATGCAGACAGGATCCATCTTGTCATGGTATGAGTACGCTCACCTGCACAGATGTGCGTAGGGCGGCGTACGGTGCATACTCCCATAAAGAAGGACAAGGGCTGCGTACTAATCACACACAGCACCTGTCCTTCCCAGGAGCTGCCCGATACGCCCGCAACACGGAGCTGTACGCGCTGGCCTTTTCTCGTGTGAATCAGGCATAAGGGTCACCATATACATAACAATGTGACTATACAATTAGTGTCCAATTAACTTTTTTACCAAAACTATATAACATGAGGAGCAATCAATGTGTATCCAATCAGACAGGCCCTTGCATGACATAGTTGTTAGTAGAGCTAAAGGAGATTGTATTGTGTATGGTGATCCTAAAGGGGATTGTACGATCAGGCCAATGTACATTGTATGTAGAATCAGATTGCACCGTGTGTGATGAGACACGCTATATTATTGCAGATCTCTTTGCTCCATAGAGAAGCGGTGTCACAGCTAAATATCCGGTGGATGCAGTGATTGTGCGCAGTGAGCGCTGGGTGTCAGCTGTGCCTCTCTCTATCACCCATAGACACACACAGCGAGCAGGGGGAAGAGGAGGAGACCGACCACCCATCCCCCAGCAAGAGCGGCCCACTGTGGAGGGGGGAAACACTACCGGGGTAACCCGCCTCAACCGGACAGGAAAAAAAAAAGAGCCGTCTCCTCCTGGATTTAGCAGCCCGGTCCACGTCACCCGGTGCTCCGATCTGTGATCGCCGAGTAACGGGAGAGCATCGTCCATCCATCCGCTCCATGTGATCGCCACCTCACTGCCGCTATTCACAGTCACACCTATCCCCATAGACAGGCTGTCCGAAGAGTTGGCGGAGCCCCGGCTAGCGGAGCGGGAAGAGCATGTTAAACGCGGAGAGCTTGGACCGGGTGGATCTATGTGAGAGTCTGCTGACGTGGGTGAGTGTGTCCGGGCTTTCCCTTCCCCCTCAGATGCAGGCAATCGGAGGCCCTGTACTGTACACTGATCCCACTCTGCTGTCACTGGGGGGCACTGGCTTTATGGAGCTCCTACCGGGTGTCATTGTGGATCGATGTCTCTGGGGATCGGTGCGATCATCTTGTTTATGCTGCAGTGTCCTGTCACTTTACAGCTATGATGTGGCTCCAATTCTTTTTGTCTGGGGGCCCTGTCTCTATAGATTGCTATGGAATGAAGATTTCTGACAAAGCCACCTATACACTGATCATATAAGCCTGCCTGATTGTTCCCATTGATCAGGGAATCCCCCCAGCTGGATTATTATATTTTGACAGCGGAGGCTGTCAGAATCCCCCAACAGTGCTGATCGGCTGCGCTCACTAAGAATCTTCCGCTCCACAAAAGTTGATTAAAACCTACTTTTGTCGAATGGAGAGATGCTAACGAGGCCACACATGGATGAACCAAGTCAGCAGGTCACAATCCTTGCAGTGTATGGTCAGCTTAATTCTATGTAGCAATCCATGTAGGAATTATTATTATTCTGGTTTGTGTAGCGCTTTTTAATATAATGAAAGACTATACGTTTACAATACAATTCATTGCAAGATGCTTAGGAGGGTCCTGCCTAATGAGAGCTTACAATCTGAAATCCTGCATTGCATTCAGGGGTGGGCAACTCTGGCCCTTCAGCTGTTTTGGAACTACAAGTCCCATGATCATTGCAAGACTGACAATTACAGGCATGACTGGCAGAGGTAGTTTGGGAGTTGTAGTGAAAAACAAAGCTGGAGTTGCCCACCCGTGATCGATCCTGAAGTGCAGGTAATGGTTTCATATATGATTACATGTGGACAGCCGTGACCGCTGTCACCCTGTCGTTAACTTGAAGGGCTCAGTCACACTAGATGCTTTTTAGTGGGGTAGGAGGGGGCGTGGCGGGCCATTCAAGTGAATGGCGCCGTAGCCACGTCCTCCGACAGCAATGCGATCCGCCGCACGGGATCGCAAGGCACATTGTGCCTGCGGTTCGGCCCTGTGCGGTGCAATCAAAATAGTGCTTGTAGCATTTTGATCGCACCGCACAGGTTTGGATCGCAGGCACTGCATCTAGTGTGACTGAGCCCGAACAGGTACACAGGCCACATCTGAATGGAGACATCCGGGCGGTTCCAGCCACAAGAATTCACAGGATTCCCAGCCCCAGAGCATGAATGTGGAGTTATTTATTGGCAACTAAAAGAAGAGCAGCCCTTATTGAGTTTTGACACCCACCGAGATTCAAACTTGAAATAGAAAAACTGTTATTTGGAGAGGAACAAATTGATGAACTGGCCCAAGTCATTGACTTATTGTAAGATTTGAAAGTTTATATGTTTTTAGTAGAGTCTGGTTGTCCTGCATGTTGTGTTTTCTAGTAAAGGTTCAGCTTTGTTTAATCTACTGCTGCATTAGAACCTGGCTCTGGGCCCTGTTAGCTAAGAGCTTGTCATCTTCTGGCTGCATGGCCTGGAATTTATTTTATAGCCCAAGGTTTTGGATGTAAATATTATATGGGGGATTTAGGCCCCATTCACACCTATGCGTATTGTAATATGCGCGTCTGTCGCGCGACCGTCACGCGTTTTTTTACCACGATTCGCGGTAAAAAAGTTGCGCGACCGTCGCGCGATTCCAAAGGCTACTTGGCAGTATACAAATGGAAAACGCCCTACAAAACGGACCAATACGCAGTAAAAAACGCTCCGGGACCTTTTCATGCGTGGGCCGTTTTGTAGTGCGTTCGGGACGGGCGGAAATACGGACAGGTGGGAACGATACCATTGACTACAATGCTATTTATTTTTCTGACCGTTTTGTAGAGCGTTCATCGAGCGTAGGACGCGCTACAAAACGGTCAGGTGTGAATGGGGCCTTAGGAAAACTGGAGCAGTTGCCCTTCACAACCAATCCAATTCCGTCTTTTATTTTCAAAGCTTAATTGAACAAACTGAAGATAGAAGCTGATTGGTTACTAGGGGCAACTGCTCTCCACATCCAGTTCTGATAAATTCTCCCTTATCTGTCTGCAGTGTATGTCAGGACTGGACAAATCCTAGGAACCAGTTGGTGCCTACCTTGTGGTTTTCTCTAGTTGTTAATGGAGCAGGCTCCTGAATTGGACAGACTGGCTCCTGAATTCCATATTAATTTGTCCACCCCTGGCTTAAGGGGTACCTGAGAACATTGTTTCCCAACCTTTTTTCCAGCCACGGCACCCTTTAAAAATATGTCACCCTAGTCTAAAATGTAAAAAATGTGAATGTAAAGACAAGTGGTTCGCTCCCCCCCATCAAATCGATATCAAACCCTCATCTTCGACAGGGGTCTGGTATTGATTTTATGAGGTGACCCAAGGCAATAAGCAACGATGTGGAGTTTCCCCCCTTCATAACAGAAGCCTTTCCTTTACATCAGGAGACCCCTTCACAGGAGAGTCCTCCTTCACATCAAAACGCACCCTCCTCCCCTTTCACCTCAGAGTTCCCCTTCACATCAGAAGCTCCCTTCACATCATAATCTCCCACTTTTACATCAGAAGGTCTCTTCACATCAGAACCCCTCTTATCATTAGAGTGCCTGTTGAGCGAAAAAGGCACGTCTGACAAAGTTAGAAGGTACCCCAGGGTGCCACAGCACCCTTGTTGAGAATGGCTGCTTTAGACGTTGGACAAGGGGCCACCTAAGGAAGATGGACAAGGGGCCACCTAAGGAGATTGAGAGACTTTAAGAAACAATATGCCTGAGACCTGGCTTGCAGTTCATATATTGGTGGCGGTAAAGTAATTTCTGCCCAGTGAAGGTTCATTTAAGATAACCCCCATAGCCTTGATGGTCTTGCCGCATGTGGAGATCAGGGCTATATGACCAAGCACCTGTAATTTGTATCTTTCCTTTTAGTGTCTTTTTGTTTTTATTGTATAAAACAGTGGCTATCTGTAGAAGATGAAATGATGTGGGTATCCTTGTAATTTGCGTACAATAAAGAAAGAAATTCAGAGCTTTGTTGTTCTGGTTGCCAGACACTCTCTGTCTCTCATTGGATGCTTGTAGAAGATACGTAATGTGTGAGACATTGTTCTTGGGTGTAAAGACATAACAAGGTCTGCGTGTTTTCTTAGGGCAGCATACAGACAACAGTCTTAGCATTTGCCTGCCATTCTTTGATTGCTAGCAGGTCGTCTAGTCCAGTTTCTCTGTTCATCTGATCGGACTAGATCATTTTTGTTGTAAAAGCGTTATGCTTGTTTGATATTGTAAGTCAGTGATACGAGGTGTACATTGTCCTTTGTCTGATAATGATTGTCCATGCAAACAAGAACTGTTAGATTGTTTAAGTTATAATTGAGCTTATTCATTTATTCATTTGCATTGGCACATGAGCGTGTGTTGCATTGAACCAGCCCATTCATTTAGAACAGGGGTGGACAATCCCCAACCCTCCAGCTGTTGTGGAACTACAAATCCCATGAGGCATTGTAAGATTCTCTTAGCCACAGACAATACTCCAAGAGGCACATGCATGACTTGCAGTTTCAGCACAGCTGGAGGGCCAGAGTTTAGAATGTTTTGCCAATGCAAGGTAACAGAAGGAAAAACTTGACCTGTACCTTTTCCTTTTTTTTTTTTTTTTTTTTTTTTGTAAAAAAAACTTTTTGTAAAAAAAATACATGCATCCATATTGCAAAAATAAAAAACATGCACACTTTTTTGCGTTGGCGCCTGCAAAGCATTGCAACCGTGATCAGTGGATGGTGGGTGCAATGCACAGAATCCTGCAGACTGTTCCTCCATCTTCAGGCCCATGTCAAGGTATGACCCTTCAGATATGGAGCTGGTGGAGTACTAGGTCCATAATGTCTCCACACTTGCACTCTATTGAGAATTTACGAGTCCCTCTGCCACAATGGCTTTTTCATTCATGAATGGCATGAATAATGTGGCTTTGTGGGCAGAACCAAGAACAGCCGCGCCATATTAAAAAATACACAGAAGACTGTGGGGAAAAGGACCCTGCGATTCAGCCAAGTGTGGGGGGGGG